CAAGAACAATATCAAGGCAATAAGAATGAAATCAAAATTATCCAAGAATTTCAACGTAATTATAAAGCATCCAACGCCATTTGGTGGTACACACGCCAATGCTTCACATACAAAATGCTTAATGGCGCGTTAAGAACACTGAACGGCGACATTATGATACGAATGGGTTTTTTCCTGTGTGATGTACATCGTCAAATTGAACATTTATACAAACAACAGGTCAGTCAATACCATAACAAGATTTTTACAATCTTTCGAGGGCAAGGCCTATCGAAAGTAGATTTTGAAAAGCTCGCAGAAAACAAAGGTGGGCTTATTTCTTTTAACAACTTTTTATCGACCAGCACAAATTCAGATGTCTCCCTCGTTTTCGCCAAGGGAGCCTTGAAAATGACTGATATGGTTGGAATTCTATTCCAAATAACCATCGATCCTAAAGTTTCATCAACTCCTTTCGCCTCCATTCGAGAGGAAAGCTACTTCAAGGATGAGGAAGAAATTCTCTTCACCATGCACACGGTGTTTCGCATTGGTGAAGTGCGAAAAATTGACAACGATCGTGCACTTTATCAAGTCGATCTTCAACTTACGTCAGATGATGATCCACAACTTCATGAATTAACTGACTATATACGGAAAGACGTCGACGGCACCGGATGGTATCGAATGGGGCAATTGCTGCTCAAAATAGGTCAATTCAACAAGGCTGAAGAACTATACACGGCACTACTAGAACAGATATCAGATGATAGAGACAGAGCACGTATCTATAATATGCTTGGAGATGTGAGATATGATCAAGGACAATATCAAGAAGCAATTTCATTTTTCAAAACAGCTCTCACGACTTATCGAAAAACTCTACCGAAAGATCATCATAAGTTGGCTCTAATCTACAATAATATCGGCGCCGGGCATAATACCATGGGAAAGTATTCGAGAGCAGTTGAATATTTCGAAAGAGCACTTAAAATAAGGAAAAAGACTCTGCCTCCAACACATTCCGATTTGGCCGAATCCTACGCCTGGATCGCTATAGCGCATAACAACATGGGTGACTACTCGAAAGCACTTGAATTTTACGAAAAATCACATCAAATCTACGAAAAAGCTCTGCCTTCGAATCATCCTCATTTGGCTAAATCATACGGCAACAGCGGTCAAGTGTATAATAACATGGGTGACTACTCGAAAGCACTTGAATTTTACGAAAAATCACATAAAATCTTCGAAAAAGCTCTGCCTTCGAATCATCCCTCATTGGCTACTTCATACAGCAACATCGGTGGAGTGCACAGCGACATGGGTGACTACTCGAAAGCACTTGAATTTTACGAAAAAACACTTAAAATCGAC